CTATAGTTTAAATTTATATTTAATGAAACCCATCACCTCGAGTTCGGTGTGCACTGTAGAGAATATTGTAGTTCCAAAACAATTTTCATGTTAGCCCAATACCCTAAATAATTGTCTCTCATTGGGTATTGGGCCAAAAAACCTAGGCGTACTAATTATTTAGCCCAATACGATATAAAGTAATTTATTTAGGTATCTACGACATTTTTACAGTGACTGGAGTGACGAGTTCTAATAAAAATATTTTTTATTCAAACTTTTATTCCAATGTGATGAAATTAATAAAAATATATTTTATTAAAATTTGTCACCTCAACGTGATGAGTTTAAATAAAAAAAATATTATTTGAGTAAACTTGTCACTCGACTTAATGAGTTCCTTAAACACTATAACAAATGTCATAAATCTCAAAATAAACTTCTATATGCTATATTGGACTAATTATTAAATATGTTTGCCTATTGGGAAAAAATCTAAGTTTAAGTCCAAAATCTTCATTGTAATGGGCTTTGTTGCGGAATTGTAAATTTACCCAATTTATTATTAAGTAAAGTACATTAGAGTATGGTCGTAAATGAGACGAGACAGCGTGAGCTACTCGAGATTGATTTTGTCAAATATTGATAATAATCGACTCGAATGGACTCAACTCGAGTTCTTAACGAGTCGAAACGAACTACTTGATACTCAACTTGAAATAATATATTAAGATATATTTTTAAAAAATTTATTAATAATATTAACATTTAGTTGTTGTTTTAAATGCAATGTAAGGTTTTCATGTATTTAAGTGTTAACTTCGAGTTTGAGTTTCAATCGAGTTAAGTTTAAGATTTTTTCATTTAGAGTTTTTTTTTAAAAAATTATAAATATAATAATGGGTAGATGTTTAAGGTTAATGGGTAGATGTTTTTAAATTATAAAATAAATTTTAGATTGATTCTCAAGCTTCAAAACATTATAATTGAATCCTTAAAATAATAATGTACCAATTAGGTCATTCAGTGTGAGTTTATCTATCAGTTTAAACATTGATAAATTTCAAATCAGATCCATTAGATCATTATCTGTTAATCGTTCCATCAATTTAGACGTGAATAAATTTTCAATATGCATGCATCAATCATATAGACAATTTGGATCTAACGTGTTAAAATAGTCGACCATATGACGATGCCATACGAAGAAAATAATCGAGCTTGAACCCAACAATCATCGATCATATGAAGAATACGATACGAGAAACATAATTAAAATACGATACAAACATGTATCAAAATCTAAATCCGGGATTTCTAATGAATTTCTTACTCTTGTGGAGTGAAATGGCAAAATGGGGCAACATGTACTAGTAAATATTGATACAGATAATGAACGATGTAGGCAACTACATCTACACGAGTATTTCTTTCTTTTTCGGTTCAAGAACAGGTGGGTCTATGTCGATTCCCATATTAGCAGCAGTCCCGGCTATAATTCTCATAGCCGATTCGATGGTTGTACAATTCAGATCAGGTAGCTTTTCAGTAGCGATAGTACGTAATTGATCGATCGTGATCTTCCCCACTTTCTCTTGTTTCGGGTCCTTGGAACCTTTCTCCAGTCCTAGAACACAAAATATAATCAAATTGCAATCGAAGAATGGTAAACACATGGCAGCCAAAAGTTATTCTCCCCATGTCTTTAATCAATCACAACTTGTTTCTAACATGCTCATTTCTATGCACAAGTTACTTATGCAAGTAATCGGCTACATGGACTCGGGAAAAGGTTGTTAAACTTTTGTTCATCTTGTTCGAGCACGGGATACCTAAAGACGGTCAACCAAAATCTACCAAGTTCATATGAATGAAAACTTACAAATTAGTCATAAATGTGGTGGTCGTCAGGGCCGGAGAATGAGGATATATCCATTGACAAGTAAAGAATCAACACAATGCAAATAGTGCATTAGACTGATGGTGTATATCAATATGCAACGACCAAGGGAACACGGTTTACTTGGAGGAACAAGATTGGTGATATCTACACAAGGCATGATCCCCAAGCAAAAAATCTTCATACAAAAAGAAGTCCAGCAAATGGCACAAAATATTTTCGATTCCGACATGCAAACACATCTGGCTACACATAAACAAGGACTGAATTATGAATGTTATCGTAACAACAACCTATATTACTTAAACTTGAGAGGGAATATTGGAAACATGTATGATTTCAACCAGCGTAATTTTCATGTATTTTGAGAGTCCTGGGAGAGTTATGTTTCCACACCCATATGTCTAGAACATGTCAGACAATCGAACACGGTCACTTCAAGAAAAAGAGTAGGAGAAACATAGACAACCGACATCTGCAAATTGAACTTTCATTGTGCATACAACATCCCCGTCGCTATCTAAAACATTCGATCTCTGCTTCTTTTTCATTCAATATCTTTTCTTTTCCTTCTTCTTGTCTCTTATGAAACAACTACATGATGAAACCTAAGTTCTCAACAAATCTGCTAATGTTATTCAACCCAGTGGACTGAATCGAATGCCGAAGAACCATGCATAACTAAAGCACCGAGTACAAATCATTGCCAACAACTTGCAAGAAGCAAGCACACAGGCAAATGTACCGAAATAGGGGATGCTTCCAACCCCGAAGAGAACAAAACTCGGCTTCGATTACTTCGATTTCACTAGTTTACCTTGAACAAGAATTTAAGCATAACAAATGAAAAAAACAAAGAGACAATGCCAAACTATAACACATGTAATTATACCCAACATAAAAACATCAAATCACGTCATGTAAAGACATACCAAGTAAGTGATATAGCAAAGAAGTAAATATACCTGCTGCCTTAAGTAACAAAACAGAAGCAGGAGGTGTCTTAGAATGAAAGTGAAGCTTTTATCCTGGAAAGCAATTAAAAAAAGCACCCATTATTGTTCAAAACTACTGAAGAAATCAATAAAGAAAATGGACAGAAGAAGAAGAAAAAACGCACATCGTAGACAGTAATTTCGACAGGGATAACATAACCAGCTTTATCAGCAGTTCTAGCATTGTAATCCTTACAGAAGGCCATAATATTCACACCCTTTGCTCCGAGCGCCGGTCCGACAGGCGGCGCCGGTGTAGCCTTACCTGCTTCGAGAGCCAGTTTTATACCCAACCACTGGAAAAACACGCATAAAGACGTAAAATGTCAGGGAATTCAGGGTTCGGTATCGAATGTAAATGGAAGAAATTAAACAAATCTCAAAACCTTTCTTGGCTTTGCCGCCGGGTTTAGGAGGAGCCATGGCGATGACCGTCAAGAACCTTGGAGTCGAAGAGATGAGTGGGGAGAATTTTGCACCGAGGAAATTGAGAGAAACGCTGGGATTTGAAGATAAGTTGATGGGTGAAGGACAAAAAGAACTGGAAAGCTTGCCATTGCCGATGTTTCGAGGGGGAAATGAAGAGATGAGATGATGGAGAGTGGATAACGAAGATGCCATTGGAGAAGGCGAGTTGAAAGAGAGCAGAATTGAGAAGAAGAGGCATAAATCCTTTTGGATAAAACCCAGAATTTCTATCTTCAAAAACTTCAATCTAATCTTCAATTGGGCTTCACTTTGAGTTGAAATTGGAGCTGGGTTTCACTCAGGATCACACTAAGCTTCTGGGCTCATTTTAAAAAAATATAATTTCTCTCCAATTTTTTCTTTTCTAAAAATTAAAAAATAATCTAATTTATAAAGACTTTGATAAACTAAACTAAATAATTTAATAATATTTTATAGATATTCATAAATTATCAATTAAATTTGTGGTATAATAACGATTAACATGGATTTACAATGCGTAAAATATATTAATTTTACACAAAAATATAATCATTCGATAAATCTAAAAAGGGGTTAAACTATCGATTCCTAATAACGAGAGACTCTTTATCGGCCAAAACCTCCAATGCCTAATAGAGGAGAGACTATATCAGCCCTCGACGTTTTAGGTTAAAAAGATTCCTATTTTAGAACGTTAATAGTATGTTAAGTAATTTTTTATCTAAAAATAGAGGTTTTTGTTCAAAATAAAACGTTAGAGCTAAAATATTTCAAAAATTAAACTAAAGACTAAAATGATCAGTTTAATCAACGTTTTGTGAATGTCGATCTATTAAACCATCTATGCCTAATAGAGAAAAGAGCATATATAGCGCAGGCAAAACGTTGGGTAATTCACATTTGCCCCACGACGATATAGTTTCATATGGTCATTTTTTTAACTTAACGTTAAATTTTGAATGGATACTAAAATAAAAAAAAAACTAAATTTTTTAATTACATGTACTAAAATGAAATAAAAACTAAATTCTAAGTACTGTTTTAAACAAAATTAAAAGTTTAGATATTAAAATAGATCAAAATTAGTAGTTTAGATATAAAAACGTGTAATTTACCAAAAAAAAGTCAGCGAACGTGAAAAACGAGAGAACGCGGCGACGAAAATGAGAAATATCGTCGCTATAAATAAAGCGTACAATTTTACAAGAAATGACTCAGTGAGTCAGTTCTCTAAGCTAATATAAAAAGAAAACAACGAAAACAGAGCATGTGCCCGCGTCTTCACCAACAGAGCAGCGGCAGCAGGTGGTAACTGAATAACCCTAACCAACCCATTCGACCAACCAGAAAGCATTTGTTAAAAAAAGGAATAAAATAACCCCAAAAAAACACCTTTTTTGGTACAAATTTTACCCCTTTTTTTGCCCATTTAGAACCCAACAATTGCCAATTATTTCCCCGTTGTTTCCACGCTTCTTAGCCAAATCTCAAAACCCCTTTTGTCAGAAACATGATTTAATTAATTGTAGAAACGTAGATGAACCGATTAATATATGAAATTTGTCAGTATTTAATCCGTTTCCTTATTTTCTCGAAATCCTTATCCGTAATCTACTCAGCGCCTTGTTGTCTTTGTTTTCCTGATTCCAACCCTCGGGAGATTGCAGCGCTTAAAGATGGCTTTGGGTTCAGTTCTTTTGCAGATTCTAAGGAAGCCGACGATCGGGGATGTTTTGAGCGAGTTAATGATCTTCATGGCTCCTTTATGGGTCGCTGTATTGATCGGAGTTTTGGTGGGATGGGCATGGAAGCCGAAGTGGGCAAATATGGGCAGAGGAATGTTGATTGATTGTTCTGGTTCGAAGGATTCAACTCCATCGCCTTCAGATTCTTCATCTACAAGTTTTGGTTTCATTTCAAGCTTGAATTCGATCAAGTCTCAGTTGATGCCCAGTTGCATCTCTTGGATTTCAGATGATGGGATTCAAAAGGATTCTTTTGCTTTGCCACCTAACCTTGATTCCAATCCCTGGTTTGTGATTTCACCACTTGATTTTCACTTTTGGAATTTTTTTAGCTAGATAACAATCGGTGTAGAATTGGGTTTGTCTTTGATTTTGCTGATAGCTAATAACTTTTTGTAATTGGGGGCAGTTCATCACATATTTCCAAGGGGAAAACTAGTTTTGTGACAAATGATGATTTAGAACATTTGATCAATTTAGTTGAAGAAAAGGATGGAGACCCTGCTTGGGTTCATATGATGGATTGCTCTACTCAAACTATGAATTATCAAGCTTGGCAAAGAGATCTTGAGGTACCATTTTGTGCTATTGTATAGTTAAATTCATTGCAACCAGTAAATCAAATTATCGAAACCCGGTTATAAATTTGCCTACCTTGTTGTTTTGCATCTGTTTGGTACTGCATTTGAACGATCGGATTATGTTTTTGTTGTTCATCTAGGCTGGACCTACAGAATATCGTAGCCGGACTGTTTTCGAAGATGCCACTCCCGAGATGGTGAGGGATCTCTTTTGGGATGATCAATTTCGACCAAAGTGGGATAAGATGCTTGCTAGTGCTGCAACTATGGAGGAGTGCCCCACCACTGGAACCATGGTGGTCCATTGGGTTCGCAAGGTTCGTAAAACTTTTATATGGATTCCTCTTTTTCGTTGATTTTAATGGTATTGGAACATTGTGTTTCTAAAGCGTGCTTTCTTTCTGCAGTTTCCTTTCTTCTGTAGTGACAGAGAATATGTGATAGGTCGTCGTATTTGGGAGTCGGGGCGGTCTTATTATTGTGTTACTAAGGTAATCACATATTCCATATTCCAAATTCCAATGCTACGATGCTTCCTTACAGCATTTACAGTGAGAAATAACTCGGTTTTGCAACCGATGTTTAGATTGTTTCCTAAGCTTTGAGTTGCATTAATCTGATAAAATAACTTAGGCGAATCGACATCCTTTTACGAATTTGATGGCTCAATTCAATGGTGTTATCAACCTAAGAATAGCATAAGACTATAACATTGCATGCCATGGAAGCATCATGTTAATCAACTTTGTTTTTTCGTTTTCGATGCACTGAAGTTTAACTCGTAGCATGTTACATCACATTTCAGGGAGTACCGTGTGCCTCTTTTCCGAGGAAAAGCACGCCTAGGCGTGTTGATGTATACTCTTCGAGTTGGTGCATTCGTGCAGGTATTGGACTTCACATACAAGCATAAAGGATAGGGACATTATCCAAATGAGTCTTGGACTATATACGTTTGGTTTAGGTTTCGAACACATATAATGTAACATAAATGCCTGCCAATAATTTGTCCGTGTTTTGTTTTAAACAGTCGAATCGAGGAAAGGGGATGGCCAACTGACTGCATGCGAGGTGTTACTTTTCCATCACGAGGATATGGGTATACCATGGAAAATAGCAAAGCTCGGGGTCCGACAAGGTATGTGGGGCACTGTCAAGAAGATCGACCCCGGCTTACGTGCATATCAGAAGGAGAGAGCATCCGGCGTTCTATCCCATTGTGCTTTCATGGCTCAGATCAACACTAAAATAAGTGCAGACTATCTGAGGTCCTTTCAAAGCAAAAGCAACGATTCACCGGAGCTTAAAACACATAATTCGTCCGAGAAACCTTCCGTAAACAACATTCGCAAACTTTTACTTGTTGGCGGAGCTATCGCCCTTGCTTGTAGTCTCGATCGAGGCCTCATAACCAAGGCCGTTATATATTCGGAGTAGCCAGGAAGGTTTGCAAACATCGGAAGGAGGTTGTAAGCATATATATTCCCTTCATCGATTCCGAGTTTGCCACCGGAAACTAATCGATACTACAAGCCTGCAATGGATGACCTATTCGCTTGCTTGCTATTAAAGAATTGGAGATCAAAGGTTGTAAACTTCTTTTTTCATCCCGACCATGAAAAGTTCGTTCCGATCCGGCGAAATAATGAAAACCATTCTTCTGATGATCCTTTATATTAAATTTCTATTTTCTTCTTGGTCGTTTTGTGTTATAGATCAGAGTTTTCCGTTATACTCGTTTATCTTTCGACCCAGAAAATAAACGGATAAAACGGAAAACTCTTTCTATCCCTGAGATCTCTATCGGAATAAAAATGGGCTCTTTACTTTCATCTGGCCCATGGAGACACCAATTGGGTGTGTGTGTGCATGCACACGTAGTACAATACTTAATCAGATCCATCCAACGGCTGAGATCAGCCCATGAGGGATGATCAAATATTGTGGGCCACCGACAGCTACTCGTCTTCTGACTCTGCTTGTCCATAGTTTCGATGCCACGTATCTGGAGCCGTTTCTTTGTCGTGTTGTACTGTACCACACTGAAAGATAACCGCACTCAATAAAATACTAATTTCGTAGGTAAAAACAAAAGCTGTCTAAAAAGTGAAAGCTGTAACCCATGTGAAGCTTGTCGGTGAATTAAACTTTTAACTTTCCGAGATAAATATCAAACTTAATTGTATTAAATATCCTAAAGCTATAACTTTTGTTTTAAATTGGTCATTAAGCTTTTAAATATTTTAATTTCATTCCAAAACTATGATTCTTATTTTAAATTATCTTTGAGCTTTTGAATATTCTAATTTCATCTCTAAACTATGAATCCCTTACTAAATTGACTCTAAACTTTTGAATGTTTTGATTTCATCCCTAAATTTATCTAAATATGTAATTAGTTTCAACTATAATCTAACCTAAATTTTGTTTGTTTCAAACATATAATAATATAACCTGGTCTAACGATTTTATTAGTAAGTGATGTGATCAGTATATATGTATAGCTTGGGAAGAAATTAGAATGTTAAAAAAGTTTTGGGACCGATTAGAATGAATGTCATAGCTTTGGGATGAAATTAAAATATTTAAAAATTTGAGGACTAATTTAAAATTATAATCTTTGTTTAGCATAAAATTGGACCATTCAAAAATTTATGGACCACTTTAAAATGAGGGTCATACTTTTGAGGGTATGTGATCCAATTAACTCTAAATATCAAATATTTAAAATATAGGGTAGACCATCTAGATACTTTAAGTATCGTATTGTTTATATCATTGAACTTTTAATTTTTTAAATTATAGCACTGAACTTTGATTTTCATTTTATATATACAACTGGACTGTTAAAACGATGTTGTTTTAGTGAGCTGTCTATGTCGCAATCGTTAGCTACATCATCGTGGTATAAATGATACAACGTCTACAGTTCGGTGATATATAATATAATTTACCCTTAATTTAATAAAAAAAACAAGTGGCAATGTATTCAATTAGATATTTAATTTTGAAATCAAATAGGCAAAGAGATTAAATTCCTGAATATAAAAATAACAACGGCTAAATTATAAAATTTTAAAGATTACATATACTAGGTACGTAATTAAACCATTAAATTATTGTTATAGAAATCCATCACTTCTAGTGTGGAATGATAATATTAACCACTGTCGCTAAAACAACTTGATCAACACTCAAATAATCGCCGCCTCGCCTTAAATATCAAGCTTTTTACAATTTTCCCCTCCCGGAGAACACTCCACTCCACTGCTCATAGATCAACTTTCTCACTGGTTCATCACAGTTGTCGCTTTAAGCTTTTGTTAAGCTAATACATTAGTGTATCCACTGCTTTGTTCCCATGGATTTCCCTAGATTCTTGTTCTATGCTACGATTGTTCTTTCGATTTCAGGTACTGGGTAGCACACTTTTCTGGGTTTTTCTTGTTTTCCTCGTCTGGGTTGAACTGTAATGCATTAATTTGCTGGCATTTGTTTGCATTTTTTATGTTGGTTTTTGCAGTTTGTTTGTTTGCAACAATGGCGAATTCACTGGGGATCAATTACGGACAAATAGCAGACAATCTTCCGTCACCAGAAGACGTGGTACCTATCGTTAAATCGATCGGAGCGACCAAAGTGAAGCTCTACGACGCAGATCCGAGAGTCCTGAAAGCTTTTGCAAACACTGGCGTCGAATTCATCGTCGGATTAGGCAACGAGTACTTGGATAAGATGCGAGATCCGGCGAAAGCGCTTGCTTGGGTCAAACAGAACGTTCAATGCCACTTGCCGGCCACGAAAATCACCCGTATCTTCGTCGGGAACGAGGTTCTCACTTTCAACGACACTTCTCTCTCCGAAAACCTCTTGCCGGCGATGCAGAGCGTTCACGCCGCCCTGGTCAGCCTCGGACTGGACAAACAAGTGACCGTCACGACGACACATTCGTTAGCCATCCTCGAAACCTCTTACCCGCCTTCCGCCGGAGTGTTCCGCGAAGATCTGGTCGATTGTTTAAGCGGCACTTTGAGCTTTCATCAGAAAACCGGCTCTCCCTTTTTGATCAATGCGTATCCTTTCTTTGCTTATAAGGGGAACTCCAAGCAAGTTCCGTTGGAATTTGTTCTTTTCCAGCCGAACCAAGGAGTCATCGATCCGGCGACGAATCTACATTACGACAACATGTTGTACGCTCAAATCGACGCTGTTTACAACGCTTTAGCGACGCTCGGGTACAAGAAGCTCCCGGTTCATATATCGGAAACCGGTTGGCCGTCGAAGGGTGACGAAGATGAGTTCGGAGCTACACCCGAAAACGCGAAGAAATACAATGGGAATCTGATCAAGTTGATGTCGAAAAAAACCGGGACTCCGATGAGGCCGAATTCGGATCTCAACATTTACGTTTTCGCTTTGTTTAACGAGAACCTGAAACCGGGTCCGACTTCGGAGAGGAATTACGGGTTGTTTAAGCCCGACGGAACGCCGGCTTATTCTCTCGGGATTAGTAGTACTAGCAACACCGTCGGAAGTGGTAATACAACGACCGCAGGTGGAAATAACGGAAAGCCTCAGACGACGTTGACACCGCCATCTTCGCCGACGAGTTCTTCCACCGGTTATTTGTCTATTTCTTCTGCGACGGTAAGATATAAAGCAATCACATTTTCAGTGTTGATTCAGATGATGAAACTATCAGGGAAAATTAAGTATTTAGTATTTAAATTATCATTTTTAGTTTATTTTAATATTTAAAATTTAATTTTTATTTTAGGGTCTATTTTTACAAAGTTTTAATATCTCATTTATAATCTAACGTTAAATTGTCAAAAGACTAAAAATATAAATATTAAAACGGATTAAAATGAATCTAAATTAATTATTTAGGTATTAAATATTTTTGAATTTTTTGCTTTGGTTGAAAGCAGGAGAGATATGAGTTGGTGGGTAATGTGGCGGTGATTGTTACGTGGTGGTTGATTAAAATATTGGTATAACGGCCAATTAGAAGCTATTATTTTCATCGGACTTTTGAAAAAGATGGCAGTGGAGAGGGAGTTATTAAAGAGAATCCGAGGCAACTTCGTTGATAGGGAAAGGTAAATTCTCTTTTTCTTTACTTGTACGCTACCCTTTTGTATGTTTTAATATTTAAATTTTTATTTTTTTAAAATTTAACGATAAATTTTGAAAATGGGTACTAAATGAAATAAAATTTAAACTTTAGGTATGATTTTAAAAGAAATGAAAGTTTAGATATTAAAATAGATTAAAATTGATAATTTTAATACTAAACGTGTAATTTATCCTAAAATATATTGATTGTTTTCTAATATTTGAATACATTTTGATGATTTTTTTTTGTAAAAATTTAATAAATTTAATAGATATTTATAATTTTAAAATTTTTAATAATTATATGAACATATTTTAATGAGATTTAGTATATATTATAATTTGTTTAAGGATAATATTACCTAGACAAGATTTTTAGATCTAGATTTGTCTAAAGGTCTAGCTTTAAAAATGAACCAAGGCAATAAGATAGGTTACTTTGTATTAGGGGTGTGCAAAATTACCTAAGTCAGTTGACCCGATCCGTCGACTTGTCGACTCGGATCTAAAAAAATTGGGTAATTCTCTAAAAAAAAATTACCCGTCTGGGTCGGGTACCCGGCCCGACATTTCCCGGGTCGGGCTCGGGTCACAAAATCTAGTTTTTTCGGGTACCCGGTTACGTGAGTACTCGGTTAGTTTATATATATATATATATATATATATATATATATATATATATATATAATTATATAAATATAATCAATTATTTACATTATGGATTATTATATTTTGTATTTTGAACTTTTAAATTTTATGTTCGGATATTAGAGTATGTAATTCGAAGTTTCGAACATTTAAATTTGTGTATATATTTTTTAAAATTAATAATTTGAAAATAAAAAATTAAAAATCGGGTATCGGGTACCCGTAACATCCGGGTCGGGACACGGGCCGAGAAATCGTCGACCCAGAAGTTTCGGGTATCCGGAAATCGGGTACCCAAAAATCCGGGTATCCGGATTTGCACACTCCTACTCTGTATATAAAAATATTTAATCTGAATCTAATTTGGCCAATTTAATTTTAAACTAAACGAGAAGTAAGAAGTGTCATAAATAATAGGGTAAAGAACAAAAAAAAATCATTTGAATATAGAATATTATTTTATTAAATTTATTGATTATTAAAATTTATAAAATGATTTATCAATTATAAGGAGTTGATTTATTTAGTCTCTCAACTAATAAAAATTATAAAATGATCAATTGACTATTTATTATATTTCAAATTAGTCATTTTTCGTTAAAATATTTAGAGTCATCTGAGTTGGACGTTAACATGTTGATTGTCATATGATAATCGTTTGAAATTATAATATTAAATTTTATCATATATCAATCAATAGATTAACGTGCAATTCAAATAATCATTAATTTTTTAACAAAAAAATGATGAGTTTAGAACATGATAAATAATTGAGTAATTATTTTGTAACTTTTAATATTCAATAAACTCAAAAAAATATTTTTTTAATTATTTTTTAAATTTTTAATAATAGAAATATTAAATAAAATAATATTATATAGTAAGAGTTTATTTAATTGAATAATCTTAAAAGGGGTGGTATTGGTTGCTTTTGGTTGGCATGAACGTGTCGTCTTCCTTCACTTTTTGTTTTGGTGCCTTTTTTGGTTGCAGGATTTTTAGCTGTTTGCCTCTTGCAGGGTTTGTTGAGTTTGATGGAGAGAGGGATCTTTTAGATGATTATTGTTAATTTAATTCCATTAATCATTGCTCTAAAATTTTCTTAATGCCCCCTTGGGGTTGTTGTAGTGACCATAATGTACCGTTATTGACATTTTTTAATTATTATTATTATTATTATTATGCCTTTTTAATTAGCCTTTTTCCAACACCAACAACCTCATTTCATCTGCGTTAGTATCCATGTACGAACGAACCGATCGACCTTAGTGATAAAAGAACTGTTGGTATTCTTTGAGTTTCTTAATTCAAGCATCATCAATATTAGAGGTGTGAAGTTCAATATCGAATGGTTAAGAATTATCTTTAAATAGATATTGTATTAGCTAATAAGTGTTGGTATAAGTGGTTGAGATTTAGGAATTTGAGCTTATAAGGTCAAGTTCGAGTCTTACTATTGTCACTCTTGATAGACAATCTGTAAATTCTTATATAAATCTCGATTGGGTTTTACTATGCCATGACCTTGGACGGGGAGTCACCCATAACTTAAACTTTTTAGTACAAAAAAGAAAAAGATAGCATTACATATTTACTCCAGATTAATAAAAAATAATATTATGTATTTAGGGATGGATTGAAATAAGTGTAAGGACAATCATATTATTATTAAAATTTAAATATTTTTTAATAATTTAATTTTATATTCTTATAAAAAATTACAATTTCTTAAAATAAATTATGCGATTAAAAGAATCAACAATGCTATAACAAAATTGAATAATCAAGTTCTCACGAAAAAATTATATTGATTAAATCCTTGTAGTTGGAAACTTGATCAATTAAGTTCTCTTGTTGTTATTTATAATGACCTAATTAATTATTTATTTGATGTTAATGTTTTAGTTGAGTGCAAATTGCAAAAGCTATAAAGTTAAAGAGTAAATTACGCATTTAATATTTAAACTATCAGTTTCAATCTGCGCTTTAGTATTGTCATTTTTATTTCTTTAAAAATAAAACATAATTTTTAGGTTTTGTTTCATTTTAGTATCCACTGTTAAAATTTTGACTTTTTAGTATCTAAAATATCAGTTTTTGTCTGTTCTAACAACTAAACTTCAATTTATTTTTCAAAATTTAATGTCAAATTCTGAATAAGGTACTAAAATAAAAAAAATAAACTTTATATATGATTTTGAATGAATTAAAAATTTAGATACCAAAACGAGCTAAAATTAATAATTTAGGTATTAAACGGTACCCAAAAATCAATTGTAAAAAATAATTATAAACTTTTAAAATCATTAGAATATTACATAATTATAAAAGGAATTATAAATTATAAACAATATATTTAAAGAAATCATGAAAAATTACATATAAAAAATCCATTAAGAATCAGATTCCAAGAAAGAGATAGAGGGTCACGCCTTTCCATGCAAAGGAAGAGCTACATCAAGGAAACAGAGAATCGAATATGTTTCTTTTACTCTATTTTCAGAAAAATATAAAAATCGAATTATTATTTTTTCTTCAGGAATATATGAAAATAATAATTAATTCTTAAAGTAATTTTTGAAATTAAATTAATTCTGCAAATTTTTTTGTTAATAATGTTTGTTCGATTATAATTGAATTTATACGATGTTTTTATTAGTTTAATAATATATATTAAAAAATCATTCCATTAATAATAATTTCTCGTATATCTCACAAATATATCCTTACCATAGACATAATTATTTAAATTAAGATTTAAAAGAAATAATATTATTAATTAGGATAAAATATATAAATGGTCCTGTGATTATAAGGTATTGTTTTATTGAGTACTTCGACTATTGAAAGTTATAAAATGATCCTCTAATTACAGGACGTTGTTTTTTTTAAGTATTTGATTATTAAAAATTATAAAATAGTAATCGGCTATCAATTGTGTTCCAAACTCGTCATTTTTCGTTAAAAATTGATAGCGGTTTGAGCTAGACGTTAACTTGCTGTGTGTGAATGATAATCGTTTGAGATTTTGAAATCATATTATATTATATACCAATAAACATGTTAACGTCTCACTCAAAGTGCCATCATTTTTAATGGGAAAATGACCATTTTGAAACACAATGAATAATTGAATGATTATTTTTAAAAATTTTAATAGTTAACAGACTTAAATAATAATATCTTATAATTGAATGAAAATTTTATAACTTTTAATAATCAGATTAATTAATAAAATCCTAAATCCAAATTCAACTTTTGATTCTCAATAAAGACTCCGAGAATTTCGTTCAAATTTACCAAAACGGCCCCTGCTCCACCTGTCCAATTGTCCTTCGATTCAGGACACAGTACGGAGGGACAAGTAACAGAGTTATACAGCGACGGTAATTCAGTAAATCATAAATAGTAAAAATGCGTATGATTCCTAGAATATAAAATTATAAGTAGGAATAAAAGATTATCAGAGAATAGGATTATTGAGAATGTTGTATTTTGTGTTTGGTTGATTTAGTAGGAATGTAAGATTATTGTGTTTGGTTAAAGAAATAAAAGATTATTAAAATATATATTTTATCAAATTGTCCTTATTATATATTTATTTTTTTAACAAATTATAAAATATTTATATATATTTTTTAAAAAATTTAAATTAATAAAATTTATATTTTTTTTTACAAAATTAAAAATATAAAAAGGTTTAATGAAACGGTAAAATTTTATTTTAACCCCTGAACTTAATATAATATTTTAATTATAGATTTTTTTATAAATCTAAAATAGTTTAATGATAAATTTATAATTTAACATTCATAGAATTTTTATTATTCAATAACATAATAAAAAAAATTTTAAAAGAAAATTTTTTAAGGGCATTTTAGTCCAAAACACTGGTAATCCAACAATACCTAAGGAAAAGGAGGTAATGACATTCCTGGTAATATACCCTAAAAAATCTACTATTGGTAATATAAAATTACCGGGAATGACATTCACGACCAACCAAACGAGAGAATGTGAATTTCATTCTCATGACAATCTCACATTTCCCAAACCAAACACATCCTAAAAATCAACCCTAAGCCAAAAGAAACGGAACACGTTATAGAACAAAACGCATGATGGATATGTCCACAAACATCATCTCATACATACTGCATGTGAATGACATTTTCAGACATGGCTGCATAAGAAAAAGGTTAAAGTACGTTTGAGGTTGTTAAACTATGTCAAATGATTTTTTTACTATTAAACTTTTGGAATTTATAAAATGATCATTATCAATCTATAATAAAATAGCCACTAAAATCATCAAAATATTACAAACTGGACACTAAATTTATCAAACTTTATTATCATAACATCGTTAAAATTATTTTATGATTTTTGAATGCTAAATGGCTGAAAAGAAAGTTAGCTAAGAGCTTAGTGATATATATTGTACTTTACCCAAAATGAGAGGAAAAATTAAGGTAAAGTAAATAGTCTATTGACTATATAATATTACTTTATTAATTCTCTCAATTATTGTTGCTAAATGATAATTTGACTGTTCATCATGTTATAAGTTCGTCATTTTTTGTTAAAAAATTAACGACAATTTGAGTTGTATATTAACTTGTTGACTGAGATACGATAAAATATGATCTCATACACTTAAACGACTATCATATCTCAATCAATATACTAACATCCAACTCAGATGACTGTTGATTTTTTAACGAAAGGGACGAGTTTAGAACATTATGAATAGTTGAGTGATTATTTTGTAATTTTTAATAGTTGAGGGACTCAGTAAAGTAATACCTATAATTAGGGACCATTTATGTACTTTACCCGAAAATTTATTTGTTTATTAATAATATTTCCAAAAAAAATATATTTTATTAAAAAATTAAGCTCAGCTATTATGGAAGTCTTTATCATCTGTTGTTTTATTTTTTCCTCATAAATTCCACACTGTGACATAGAGAAGAAAAAGAATTACAGAAATGGAAATCCCCTTCTTTTATTATCATACTTTGTTTTCCTCTTGTTTCCATTTCAATTTCGTGTAATTCGTAGTTGTCTCGAGGTCGGCTTTTTTTCTTTCTAAGTCATCAATGGCGATCATTGTAGCTTTAGCTTAGTTTTCAAAGGGGTTCCATCATTTTTACTTACCCAACATTTCAAAAATCGATCTTTCTCCCTCGTTTTTTGATGCTTGGGTTTGTAAAATTCTGGGATTTTGTTTGATCAGTTGATAAAAGGTGTCCTTTTTTTGTTTGGTTTTTCCAGGAATTATCTAATCATCTGGCTATGGCGGTAGTTGAGAATGCTCCAAACCAAGACCCGGGTGCTTCAAACGAGCAGGACCAGTCAAAGCAAGACCTTGTTCAGTCAAGATCCTACCCGAGCTTCCACGAGGACAATCAAGGGCTGTACAACAAGACCGGTGGACCCAACGGCGGCGATTTAAAGAGGAGCAGTGGCGGCGCCGGTCACGATGAGCTCGGCGATAGCTTCAAGAGAGACATCAGAGAGTTACAAGAACTGTTCTCTAAGCTTAATCCCATGGCTGAGGAGTTTGTGCCTCACTCACTTGTTAACAATGGAGGGCTTTACACCAACAAGGTTGTTTTGCAAAACAACAATAACATCTCGAGGAATGGCAATGCTAATGGCAATGGTGCTGGTAAACGGGTATGCCACAAAAAACCCAGTTTTTTTCTTCTTTGCTTCACTTACCAATGAAGATTATAAGTTACGTTGATGGAAGAAATCGAAATGAAATTTATTTGTTTGATGGGTTTGGTTAAGTTGAAATGGCACAGAGAGAAGAGATTATCCGTCGGACTGTTTATGTGTCTGATATTGATCACCAGGTATATATGTATTATATGTTCAGCGTTTTCAGCTTTGTAGGGATGCCGAAAATCGATTTTGTTGCTTCTGTTTTATCTTCTCTTGGTATTTAGATTCATGTAGTGTCTTGCTTGTTGGGAATGCAGGTCACTGAAGAGCAACTTGCCGGTTTGTTTCTGAGTTGTGGGCAGGTGATATTATTCTCATCGCTCGTCTTTATTGTTTTCGTCGAAACGGTCTGTCTGAATGAATAGCGTTTCTTGCCAAGGTGGTTGACTGTCGCATATGTGGTGATCCTAATTCTGTACTTCGGTTTGCCTTTATTGAGTTCACCGAAGAAGGTGATGTT